GATCCACCCGCCTCAGCCTCCCAAAGTGCTGGGATTACAGGCTTGAGCCACCGCACCCGGCATGCTATAAATCTTTAAGCCGTAAAGCAGTGGTTCTCCATCAGGACTTATTTTGCTCTCTCACCCTGGGACATTTAACTATGTCCGGAGACATTTTTGGTTGTCACACAGGGAGGAAGATGCTACTGGCATCTTGTGGATAGAGGCAGGGATGCTGCTCAACAGCCTAGAGTGCACAGGACAGCCCTGAACAACAAAGGGCTATCCAGCCTCAAATGTCAGTAGTGCCAAGATTGAACACCCATGATCTGTGGCATTTACCATACTCATACCTTTGGTTGGTTGGTTTTATAAGGCTGGTCACCACAGTCCTATCCTTGGGCAGAAATTATTCTCACTGCACCATGGTGTTTGCTTTTACTCAAATACTAAGTTTTCTGGCTCACTGTGTCTCTCTGTGTGTGACAGGCACACCTCCATAGTTGTGCACAAGGATGAGTTCTTCTTCGGCAGTGGTGGTATCTCCAGCTGCCCCCCGGTGAGTGTCTTCCCCTGCACTCTGTCCTGCAGTTTCAGGTTCCTGGGGGCTCCTGTAGACCAGGAGCTTCGCTTCTGCTGTGGACCTCTGGCATTGTTCCTCAAAGCCACCTGAAGACTCTGCTCAAGAAAACCTTTCCCAGACACCCCAGCCAATTGCCTTCCTCTCTTTTCCCATGGCATGTATGGGTCCTTCTGTGTCACACAGAGCATCTTATGGTGAAATGAGCTGTTTCTGGGTCTCCACAGGGAACTGTGTAAGCTCCTTGCAAGCTGATGCCTTCCATTCCCATCCCCAGCACAGTGCCCAGCTCTGTGGGAATGCAGCTGATGTTCTGATGTTAAGCTGAATGATGAGGGCTCTGAGAAGCATCAAGAGTTGCCCAGACTTACACAGCCAATAAGTGTCACCAGTCCTAGAACCCAGGATTCTGACTCTAAAGCCCATATCCTTTTCCAAAACTTTCTATCAGAGCTATCCAAGTGTTGTCACAGGAGGTGCTCAAGCAATGACCAAGAAGCCGTTTATTTTGTTTTTTAGATTGTTGGCTTGTTTTATTTTTGTGGGGGTTTTTTGCTGTATCCT